TTTGCATCCCAAACTGTAGGAGAAAAGATCCCACCTTAGGAAGGGCCTCCAGAGAGACAACAGTGGGATACGCTGCTTCCTGGGAGCCCACCGGAGTCTCCTTCTTCCTCTGGCGGTCTTTCAACAGAGGCTGCATGGCCATCTGTTGGGAGGGCTTGGATTGTGCTTTTCCTGCCTGGCAGAAAAGAGGGGCTTGGACTGGACAGCTGTAGGGTCTCCTTCCAACTCTATAATTGCTCTATAGCATGCACGGGCAAGCTTTGGCCCTCCAGGTCTTTTGCACTACAACTCCCACCATTCCTGGCCTCAGACCCTTTCCTTTCCCCCCTCAGCCGCTTAAAGAAACCCGGCCCCTCTTGGAGCAAATCTGGGACCGTGACAATGGTTGCAGTTCTAGATGAATTCTGTGCAAAATTTGTGCAATGTAGTTTTGTGTGGAAAACCAGCATTTTTCTGCACAGACAATACTTTTGCACAAATAAAGCCATGTCTTTTCAGAAGTATTGTTTTGTGCAGAAAAATATTCCTTTTACAGATAACAGAAATGCCATTTCCTGCACGATTTTTGTGTGGAAAGGGGGAAAAAAACTTGAACTGTGAATAGTCTTTAAAAACTGGACCATTCTGGAAGTCTTCCTTATGGCACAAGGAAAAGGCTGGAACTTTTCATGCTTCCTTCCTGCAAGAATCTCCCTGCTGCAAAATGACGTCCTTGCTCTCCTGTCTTGTACTATGAAGACTACAAAAGCCTGGGATTTCTAGTTCCTTTCCACCATCATCCTTCTGCACCCAAAAAGAGAAAGGGAGGCCATGCAGATGCCATTGGACTATATCTCCCAGCAGCCACAATCAGAAGAGCCAATGGTGAGTCATGTTGGGAGTTGTAGTCCACCAAGCTCTGCAAGACCAGCCCTGTTCTGTGCTGTCTAAGCAGAAGAAGCACAAGACACACACAGAGAGAGGCCCAGGGGCTTTTAGTAACACAAAATGGGAGTTTCCAAACTTTCTCAGTCACGAAGCACCTTTGAAATGTGAAATGTGAAATGTGAGCACTACATTTCCTCTCTCAGATACATACTGTATTTGATAAATAACACAACAACAATATGGACGAAAAAAGGTAGTTTCACAATTTCATCCTGCAAAGACATCATGTTTTATCATTCAAAACATTTTATTTTTCTCCACCAATTTCACATGTAGGCAGAACTATACCCACAAAAGAAGAAGAAATAGAAAAAAATGGTGACTACAACTCCCACAAGACTTCTAACAGCTGGTAGGCTGTAAGGAATTGTGGGAGTTGAAGTCCAAACCACCTGGACAAGGGCCAAAG